CTAGGTAATTATGGATATATGTTATCTTAAGCAAAACAATAACTGTATTTTACACACTGTAATATTTATATTACTTAATTTGTACCAAAATATATATGTTATTTATTTGGCAGTAAAAGAATCGGACTCTTATTGTATATGCAGATCATCTTTACAGTTTTTAAATAAATAAAAAGTACTTTCATTTTATTAATTCGTCATTGTAAAACAATTTTATCACCATACATTATTTAAATTCAGTCTGGCTTACAAATGCGTTTCAGGGTTTGTAGATATTGCCTATGTCACGGTCTACCTAGGTGGACAGATATTTATCCAACTGACACTAATCCGGTGTTTGATCTGTAGACAAACGCCGCGAGAAAGAAGCCAAGCCAGACGTAGTCGCCAAAAGGTTCTTTGTGCAGAACAGGGCATCGTAAATTACATCTGGGTGCTAATCCTTTAGAAGGACATCAAAAGAGCCATTTGTAATAAAATGGTAGGCAACTTATATTGACCGTTCCGCTGATTTACAACTTGGGAATGGTTAGTCCACCGCATCCAATCAGAATTAAGCTAGTGGGTTCGCATACTTCTAAGTTTCGAGGATATCAAACTGACTCCATCCCAGAATTATTTAGTAGACCGAGGCAGATTACTAAGTGATTGAACGATTAAGGCTACTCCGAGATACGCACTCGTAAGTTTGGCGTGAATCGCAGGAAAAAGATTGCGAACAAAAAGAAAGCTTCAAGAAGGTAGATATTCGTTTGATTTTTGACTCACACATTGCAACGCCGTAACTGTAAGTACTAAAATTATGTTATCGCAATTACTAATAGTATTGTTAGAATGAAGAATTACTTTGTAGAGTTTCATTTGTGTACTTATTTGAGATTTGTATTGGAGTTAGGAAATGATTGATGTAAGCAAGATTATGAATGTATGTTTGAATATGTTCTGAGCATGGATAGTTGCATATTTATATATTTGTAGGATTTGTGATGCAAAATAGATGTGTTGGTTATTATGTACTGATATGAATCAATTATCGTTGCCTGTATACGAGTAATTGATATCCTGCTTTATGATGTGTTATTATGTTATGATTTTAAATTTTGTTTACCATTCATGAATGTATGAGTATTATGGTGGGAATGAATGCGTGACCCATGAAATTTGATAGCCTTATCTGATGATAAGTTATCTGGGTAGTGTGAGTGTATGTGCCAAACAAAATAGTACACCCTCTTTGTGTTTTACAGGAAGCTTTCCGGGTGGAATAACTTCAGTTAGAAGGAGAATCCCGAGTGTTTGAGAGAGAAGACTGAAGTAAGACTGTCGGTACAGTCAGGGTCGACGGATTGGAGTTGACGGTTCGACGAGGAAGTCGACGGAAAAGGAAATGGAGGTGGAGAGGAAATTGGAAGGAGCAAAAGGGAAGTGGAGGTGGAGAGGAAATTCGAAGGAGCAAAGGAGGAGTAGAAGTGGAGAGGAAATTAGAAGGAGTAAAGGAGGAGTGCAGGAGAAATTTAGAGAGACAGATGAGTAGAACCAAGGACTATATGTCCAGGTCTATGGGTGGCATCCTTACCTGTAGATCCACCTCCTACCTTCCCGTCGCCCTGACGGTTACGGACAGTCGGTTCTCCCTCAACCACCCGACGCGACTCAGTGGGTCGGGGTCGGTCAGTGCCCCCGGAACTCCCAATCTTCGAGTGCGCCTGCTCGTATCTCTCCGCCATACTAGCGATCTCTTTGAGAGTCCTATGCTCTCTTTCCGCTAGGAAGACTGTCAACTCGCGACGGTAAGTACTCAGGACATGCTCCTTGAGTATAACCTTGCGTAACCCGTCGTACGATCGTTCGACTTCCGCCATCTTCATCCACTTCTCAAATAACACTCGAACACGAGTGTGGAATTGAGAGTGCGTTTCCGTTATCTTCTTCGTCGACTCCCGAAAAAGTTTACGGTACGTTTCGGTGGTTAACCGATAATGGCAAAGAAGGGCCTTCTTCAGTGCGTTATAGTTGTCGGCCTCGTCTGTGGATAAGTTATATGGTAAACTTGCAGCACCCTGCAAAAAGGCTAAGACATTAATCGCCCAATGTTGCTCGGGAATTTTATGAACGCACGCGAGTTTCTCAAATTGCACAAGGAAGTCGTCAATGGACTCTTCCTTGTCGTTGAAACGCGGCATACTTATCTGTACAATTCGTTGGTCGACAATCGGTCGCACGCTCACTCCAGAATTCGTACTGGAGTCGTCCCTATCGGCTGATCTCGCTTCTATCCTTAACTTTTCCATTTCGAGAGCGTGGGCGAGTTCTCTTTCTCTCGCGGAGTGGGCTAGCCTGGCCAGCTCCGTCTGCGACTCTCTATCCGCTGATATCCTGGCTAACTCCAGCTCTTTCTCTCTTTCAGCTGCTTTTCCGGCCTTCCATTCTTTGAGTCTCTCCTCAATGAATGTTGCCAGGCGATCTCCCTCGTAACCTAGATCGTCCTTGCCCATGGCGCGATACTCTTTCACCATCTGCCTTTCCGTAGTCATTTTATAATTATACTAATACCCTGTGTCGACTCACTAAACAAATACTCACCTGTTGAGAAGGACTAACTTCGGTCGGGTAAGATATTTCGCTCGATATTTGCCTCACAATTAATGCAAGTAAATGTAATATACCACACACGCAAATATCAAAATATAACATACACAATTTCGAAATCATAAAATTAAAATAACAGGATAGAAAAATCTCACAACTTTCCTTACTACTTCCTAACAAATAATGCTTCAAGTCTAATTCAAATCCCGGACCGAGCGCCCAGTGTTACGATAGTGTTTTAGTTGTGCCCTAGAGTTTTATGGGGTTTAATTAATTATTTTTATACCCGTGTATGGTTTTGGTTATATGAAAATGGGGTTGGGTGTTTCAAATATTTATTTAGGTATGGCACCCACCCAGGCTCAATTATGGTTCAGAAGTTAAGTAGGTGAATATGGTTCTGAGCCCCCCATTCAGCAATGCCAACAGTTAAATACAAAAGTACTAAAGGGTGAAATTAAACAGTTAAATACAAAAGTACAAAGGGGTGAATTAAATAAAACAATTTAATTAATAATAAAATTTCAACACCCGAGCTTCCCAATTACTAGACCCTTTTGTGCCTATTTCATCATCTGAATCTGTGAGAATTTCGCCCTGTCCTTGTTCTACTCATCTGTCTCTCTAAATTTATATATATATATATATATATATATATATATATATATATATATATATATATATATATATATATATATATATATATATATATATATATATATATATATTGAACAAATAATCCTGCTGTTTTGTGGGTAAGCATACCGACATGTACCCAAAACTATTTAAAGCACACCACAAAGTCTCTACTGGTTTCGGGAAAGTGGTTGGTTAAAAGGCAGTTTGTGTTACTATGCACATTTTGTAAATATTTTATTTTGACCGCGTGTTTTGCCTACAGTACTAATTGATCATAGTTGTACATTTGAACCAAACCAACTAATCAGAAGCAAAATTCATGCGTGTAATAGTTTCTTTTCGTTAACTTGCATTTTGTGTGCTATGGTGAAAAAGGACACTCAAGATAGGACGTAAATCAACTTACGTTTTAGAGAATGGACATGTCAAGTAAGTTTTCATCATTATAATATATACAACAGTAATTCTACAAGTTAAAATATTATGACGCAAACGGTAAAAGATCTTTGTAAATTACATTACATCCATTACAGTCGCAATTCATAGATTATATTCTCTCGCAAAAGGAATCTACATTACAGTCGCGATCATTAGAATATATTCTTTCGCAAAAGTAATCTACATTACAGTCGCGATCATTAGAATATATTCTCTCGCAAAAGGAATCTACATTACAGTCGCGATCATTAGAATATATTCTTTCGCAAAAGTAATCTACATTACAGTCGCGATCATTAGAATATATTCTCTCGCAAAAGTAATGTAAATAATATATTATATGAAGTAGAGTCGCCATCTGCCTTGCGTAACCTCTTGTTCGCGAGAAATTAATATTTTTGAAGATCTTATTAAGAATGGTCTATAGTCATGTCATAGTCTCATGTTATTGACAAGGTAACATGGCTAAATTTGAAATGGCGATATGATGCATCATTGTTGCACTTGAGTCCTAAGCAGGTCGACCTAACGGTAAACAACGTAACACATTTGAAAACCAAGGTTAAACCCTTAAATGGTACCAATGCATTTTCAGTTCACTGTATCTGTAACGGTTATCTGCGGCATCTGCGTCTTACTTATAAAGAGCTCTGGATACCTTTATAATTTGATTTCATTCAAATATTAGTTTCTCTGTCTGCATCAAAACTCGCCAACATAGGCATTTTTGATGTGCCCTGACATAGTAGTCAGAAGCACAGAGTCAACGAACCACTTATGTTTGGAGAAAGAACGAGGGAAAGGAGAATATATATATATATATATATATATATATATATATATATATATATATATATATATATATATATATATATATATAGATATATATATATATATATATATATATATATATATAAACAGACAGATATCACTCAATAAAATTCTCTACTGAGCTTTATAATGCTCTCTCTCTCTCTCTCTCTCTCTCTCTCTCTCTCTCTCTCTCTCTCTCTCTCTCAGCAATATTTTGCGTTGAGAGAGAGAGAGAGAGAGAGAGAGAGAGAGAGAGAGAGAGAGAGAGAGAGAGAGAGAGAGAGAGAGAGAGAGAGAGAGATTTTTGACGCAGCTTTAACAATTTTTCAGTCATATCGCTTCGATGTCTGCAGTGTGGTAGTTTATAGACATATGTAGCACTGGGGCATCATGCCCCATATATGTAGCATGTTGTCCCACCCAGTCACATTATCCTGACACCAGGTCGACTAGTCCTAACACTAACCTCTTAATGCTGGGCGCCTAGTGAGTTAGCTCTATGTATCATTTTATCTTTGATATAACTCTGCCACGGTTCGAACCTGCTACCTCCCGCACTTGAGGCTGACGCTCGAACCACTAGGCCACATGAGCTGTTAGACAGAGAGACGATAGACATAGCTTTAGATATACAGATATACAGATAGACATACAGATTTATGTGAGCATTCGTCATAGTTTTTGTACCACGTCTAATCACAGGGAGAACCCACACTGCTATACAAGGATTGTAACGTCAAAAATGTATAACCTCTAAATTGCCTTTGAGAGCTTTGATCCAAAATTAGATGTTGTTTCCTTTTCAAATCCGACATCCCCCATTTATCATACCCCATAAAACTGGGTCATTCATGTGATGTGAAGTCTTTAAATACAACCAGTGGATGTGATAAATGACGAAGTGGGAGCAAGGACAGCATTTAATAACTTGGTCACGTCCAAATAGGACCGTGCGATATAACGCCACTGTCATCTGGAATTATATGGATGAATTAGATATATTACATTGAGTTTATGTTATAATATCAACATATCCAAATGCACGTTGGTAATTATGTTATTTGTGAACAAAAGATGTTAACCTTGGAATGCAATGATTTACAGTCTTAGCTAAATTGTTGTCAATGTTAGAGCTACGGTACCTTCACATAAACTTAATCATGCTGACAATTTTTATAATGGAAAAAAATAATTCAGTAAGTTAAATCTGAGCAATTAAAAACACAGATATGTATGTATTAAAGTGTGTCCATAAATACGCATAAATTTGCATATGTTGATGTGTCAGTTGTAAGTACAAGCATAAGCACAACGTATTCTGGTATCAAGAATCGGATAACATTTATGAACGAGTGCCACAAGAGATTCGACGCATTTATATCTAAAACAAAACTCGTTTTAAACAAAATCCCCTTAACTTAAACATCAACAAACAAGTGAAGACAGGGGATTAGGGTAAGTCGCTTGTATTTTAGAAACGATTGTTACATTATGGACAAGAATCTATTCACAAAGTTAAGAACACTGTGGTGTAAGACTAGACTTCCAGTGATTTAATACTGTACCATCTTGACATCGACGCTTACTGCGTTTCTGTGCTAACAATTCAAACGCTCACAAAACCACTTTTCTATTTTTCATCGTTTCTAGAGATATCACTCCCAAAACAAGTTAGTGCGTGGTCTGATGGGAATAGAAGACTACATTAATGAAGAAAATACACACGATATTATTCACACACTAATGAATCTGGTTATTGCAATCCTACATTACTGAGTTGAGTGAGCACGACGATTTTTGCCATAAGGTCGATGATATTGTCTGCGGGAGAAGGTCATCCATAGGAATCGAAACATTAGGTAAGTACATGTAGATAGCTACCCAACAGTCCAGAGTTTTCATCTCGGTTTTGAAAAGCCAGAATTTCAATGGCTGTAACACCACAAACATTTGGCAGAAAAAGAGCGGTTCAACTTTTAGGAACACGTTCTCCACATCACATCCACAGTGATTGTGTAGCTTGTATGAGACGAACCCTACGAAGGCGATTCAGTAATGGTTAAAGGTTCGGTCGTTATCCGTTCCCACGAACTTTGATTTCTTGGAAACGCTGTTTATATTATTCGATCAAGAATGATTTCGATATCGTACTCGTCGTCTCCTTTTTTATCGGCCGGTTGTAAGTCGGAGAAATAAAACGTTCTTCATATCTTGCAATTTTTCTACTTGGGGGTTCACGTCCACTACCTTGTTTTGTGGCACAAAATAATCTAGTCGTTCAATTGAGTAAAAAGTCTTCATCCTTAGTGCATAAGTATTTAACACCTTTTCACACTTCTATATATCTGTGAGTGTGCTGATGTGTAAAATATGTCCATTTACTGTGAATGTGCTGATGTGTAAAATATGTCCATGTATTGTGAGCATGCTGATGTGTAAAATATGTCCATGTACTGTGAGTGTGCTGATGTGCACAATATGTCCATGTACTGTGAGTGTGCTGTTGTGCAAAATATGTCCATGTACTGTGAGTATGCTGATGTGTAAAATATGTCCATTTACTGTGAATGTGCTGATGTGCAAAATATGTCCATGTACTGTGAGTGTGCTGATGTGTAAAATATGTCCATTTACTGTGAATGTGCTGATGTGCAAAATATGTCCATGTATTGTGAGTGTGTTGATGTGCAAAATATGTCCATGTACTGTGAGTGTGCTGATGTGTAAAATATGTCCATTTACTGTGAATGTGCTGATGTGTAAAATATGTCCATGTATTGTGAGTGTGCTGATGTGCAAAATATGTCCATGTACTGTGAGTGTGCTGATGTGCAAAATATGTCCATGTACTGTGAGTGTGCTGATGTGTAAAATATGTCCATGTACTGTGAGTGTGCTGATGTGCAAAATATGTCCATGTACTGTGAGTGTGCTGATGTGCAAAATATGTCCATGTACTGTGAGTGTGCTGATGTGCAAAATATGTCCATGTACTGTGAGTGTGCTGATGTGCAAAATATGTCCATTTATTGTGAGCATGCTGATGTGCAAAATATGTCCATGTACTGTGAGTGTGCTGATGTGCAAAATATGTCCATGTACTGTGAGTGTGCTGATGTGTAAAATATGTCCATGTACTGTGAGTGTGCTGATGTGTAAAATATGTCCATGTACTGTGAGTGTGCTGATGTGCAAAAAATGTCCATGTACTGTGAGTGTGCTGATGTGTAAAATATGTCCATGTACTGTGAGTGTGCTGATGTGCAAAATATGTCCATGTACTGTGAGTGTGCTGATGTGCAAAATATGTCCATGTATTGTGAGTGTGCTGATGTGCAAAATATGTCCATGTACTGTGAGTGTGCTGATGTGTAAAATATGTCCATGTACTGTGAGTGTGCTGATGTGCAAAATATGTCCATGTACTGTGAGCATGCTGATGTGCAAAATATGTCCATGTACTGTGAGTGTGCTGATGTGCAAAATATGTCCATGTACTGTGAGTGTGCTGATGTGTAAAATATGTCCATGTACTGTGAGTGTGCTGATGTGCAAAATATGTCCATGTATTGTGAGTGTGCTGATGTGTAAAATATGTCCATGTACTGTGAGCATGATGATGTGCAAAATATGTCCATGTATTGTGAGTGTGCTGATGTGCAAAATATGTCCATGTACTGTGAGTGTGCTGATGTGCAAAATATGTCCATGTACTGTGAATGTGCTGATGTGCAAAATATGTCCATGTACTGTGAGTGTGCTGATGTGTAAAATATGTCCATGTACTGTGAGTGTGCTGATGTGTAAAATATGTCCATGTACTGTGAGCATGCTGATGTGCAAAATATGTCCATGTACTGTGAGTGTGCTGATGTGTAAAATATGTCCATGTACTGTGAGTGTGCTGATGTGCAAAATATGTCCATGTACTGTGAGTGTGCTGATGTGCAAAATATGTCCATGTACTGTGAGTGTGCTGATGTGCAAAATATGTCCTTGTACTGTGAGTGTGCTGATGTGCAAAATATGTCCATGTACTGTGAGTGTGTTGATGTGTAAAATATGTCCATGTACTGTGAGTGTGCTGATGTGTAAAATATGTCCATGTACTGTGAGTGTGCTGATGTGTAAAATATGTCCATGTACTGTGAGTGTGCTGATGTGTAAAATATGTCCATGTACTGTGAGTGTGCTGATGTGCAAAATATGTCCATGTACTGTGAGTGTGCTGATGTGCAAAATATGTCCATGTACTGTGAGTGTGCTGATGTGCAAAATATGTCCATGTACTGTGAGTGTGCTGATGTGCAAAATATGTCCATGTACTGTGAGTGTGCTGATGTGCAAAATATGTCCATGTACTGTGAGTGTGCTGATGTGTAAAATATGTCCATGTACTGTGAGTGTGCTGATGTGCAAAATATATCCATGTACTGTGAGTGTGCTGATGTGCAAAATATGTCCATGTATTGTGAGTGTGCTGATGTGCAAAATATGTCCATGTATTGTGAGTGTGCTGATGTGCAAAATATGTCCATGTACTGTGCGTGTGCTGATGTGCAAAATATGTCCATGTATTGTGAGTGTGCTGATGTGCAAAATATGTCCATGTACTGTGAGTGTGCTGATGTGCAAAATATGTCCATGTACTGTGAGTGTGCTGATGTGCAAAATATGTCCATGTACTGTGAGTGTGCTGATGTGCAAAATATATCCATGTACTGTGAGTGTGCTGATGTGTAAAATATGTCCATGTCTTTCGATGTTATTTGGAAATGCTCCAAGACATTAGCTTTCGTTTATGAACTTTTATTGTTAAGGAAATAAATGTGCCTTTTCTTCAGTTTTTTTTAAAGGTTTTACTAAGACATTATGTTGCTTGGTCTCTGGTTATTTTAGCAGGAGTTGTTTCAAACTCTTATTTGTTTCTTATTCTCCTTTATCGATGTCATTCCTTTGGGCGTGATGGGTATCATCTTTAAAACTTTTGCTACTTTTTTTCTCCAAGATTCGTCCCGTTTAAAGCTTATTGGTGAAACAGTTGAAATCACTGTAATTACTGTTCGCACCGTTGCGACTTTTCTGTTTCTGACAAATCTGTTCGAGTCATCAACTATTGCAACTCTTGTAAATGTATCATGATTACGATTAAGAGGTAAGTGTGGTATCCTTTGTTTGTACTAAAGATAGAGTTCCGTTAATAGTCTATAAGGAACTAAAGTTACTGTTCATCCTTCCATATGATCAAAGGTAGCAAGTGTAATGGTCTTCTACTAAAAGTGCTTTTTTAATTAAAAAAATCTTCTTAATCTCTTCACTCTTCCTAAAAGAGGTCCAACAACAGATCTTAACAAAAAGCAGTCACTTCTTACTACATTCTTATTGGTATGGGTAGAAACGAGGACTTTTTCTGCAGGCTTATTGGCATTTGCTCTTTCACCAATTGGCAACGAACGTGACGATGATATCCTAATTGCTAATTATATCGCTCGGTCAAAGGAACCGTGCCTTGTAAAACGTTGAAACACCATTTACACACGGTATCGATGATTTCTTTAGTTTTCTTATGAATGATTTATTTTCGCAATGGAGCTG